AGGTGCGTTGCATGCCGGAGGACGGATCCTAGCAATGGATGGAGATGCGATGGGGCCCGAGGAATCGCTGCTGCCGCCGCCGCGCCGCCTCTCAGCTCCCGAGGACCCGTTCGGCCGCCCCGCCCCTCGACTGCGACTCTACGAGGGAGACGCAAAGGGCAGAGTCCGTTTCCAAGATCCTCGGGCCGACCCTCTTCCAACAATCCTTCCACCAACTCGGGCCATGTGTATAGCCCAGCCCTTCTACGAGCCAATCCAGTCCAACTCGACCCTCTTCTATATATGGCCCATAGACGATGCGTAGAGTAGGCCTGTGAGTTGGGGGGCCTTCGCCCTTTCGCCCGACCACTGAGGGCGGACTCCACCTCGCCCGACCTCTGGGGGCCAGCTCCGTCTCGCCGACACCGAGGCCGCGGGCTCCGTCTCGCCCGACCACTGGAGGCAGGCTCCGCCTCGCCCGACACCGAGGCCGCGGGCTCCGCCTCGCCTGACCCCTGATGGTTGGCTCCACCCCGCCCGACACCGAGGCCGCGGGCTCTGCCTCGCCTGACCCCTACAGGTTGGCTCCGCCTCACCCGACACCGAGGCCACGGGATCCACCTCGTTCGACCCCTAAGGGTGGGCTCCGCCTCGCCCGACACCGAGGCCGCGGGCTCCGCCTCGTCTGACCCCTGAGGGTGGACTCTGCCTCGCCGACCTTTGGGGGCAGGCTCCGTCTCGCCCGACACCGAGGCCGCGAGCTCTACCTCGGCCGACCCCTGAGGGTTGGCTCCGCCTCGCCCGACACCGAGGTCGCGAGCTCTGCCTCGGCCGACCCCTGAGGGTTGGCTCCTCCTCGCCCGACACCGAGACCGCGGGCTCCGCCTCGCCCGACCTCTATGGGCTGGCTCGGCCTCACCGACCCCAAAGCCGAGGGCTCCGTCTCGCCCGACGTTGACCCATACCGTCGCCAACCACTTCAGGTCCAAGTGTATGGGCCTGGGTCAAATCTCTGACGCCAGGGAAGAGACTGGCACGCCTCAATGTAGCTCGCGACACACGACGGGACATATACACGGGGGTCATGTCGTCAGAACAACATCGTGTGTGCAGATCGTTTCGCTCTAACCCCGTCCAGAACTTTAACTTGCAAGCGTCGGCGTTCGCCACAACGTCCACCAGGACGGAGTGGAGCGCCATAACCGGCAGACGACGCCTGCACATGGCGTCAGTGATGGACAGGGCTGCGACAGAAGTTGTCCCTGTTGACGTCTACAGGGTCGGCGGGACTCTCATATAGAAGAAGAAGAAGGACCCGACGATCCTGAAGGACTTCTTCCTCTCGTTCTCTTCTCTTCTTCCACCGTAACCCGTGCTTACCCTTGGTCTATAAAAGAGAAAGCAGGGCATCCCACAAAATGCATCGAACTCGACCCAACTCAAACCGAACACATCACACCAATTCGGACTCGAACCCCGAACCAATTAGAACACTCAAGCACACAGCAGAGAAGCGACTGAGCCCTCGACGCCCGTTCGCTCCTCTCACCAGAGACTTGGGACCTGTCCCTCTCTCGACCATTTGTAACCCCAACTACGAACTTTCAGTGCTAGTAACACGAGCAGTAACAACGAACTGGACGTAGGGACATTCTGTCCGAACCAGTATAAACCTTGTGTTATCTTAGCATACTATCCGGGCCAGACGCGTAATATTAGAAATTTACTTGGTAGTGGCAACTTGAAACACCAACAAATACGTACGTACAAAATATAGAAAAGCTCTTAAAGAGTGGAAGATATAGAAAAATAATTTTTACTCAAATGACTCTCTAAATGATAATTTAGAGAGTAGCGTGACACCATCAGAGACGTCCAAAGGATGCAGCTTGAGATAGCACGTGTCCGGCAGCGCAAGGCTAGACCGGATTGGCAGACAGAAAACCGAAGACATTGCAGTCAAGATGACCAATCCGACAGGCGAGTTGGAGCAAGAGAAGGGTAGACAATTGTCTTGCGAGTTGCGACGCTAGTAGCCTCCACCTGCCAATTCGTCAATCGATTCCACTCTCGAGCGAACGAGAACGACGACGAACCGGGTGCTGTGCTCTAGGGTCTAGAAGGTCGAGCTGTTTCCGTCGCTGGCTCGCTCCCTCCCTCCCCACCTTCTCCAAGACCTGGCGTGTCCGTACGCCCATGTCGCTTCTTACCGACCGAGATCCGAGTCCGAGACGATGATGTCGCCATCCCGGCTGCAGAGGTTTGTCGTGTCGAGCCAGCAACATTACTGCTAGGGGTAGGAGGAGCACGTTCTTCGGCAGTGGTCGTTCAGGTTCTGACTGCTGCTAGACGCTGCGGGCATTTTCAACCGGTGGTTGGGAGTGTGGACGATCGATCGATCGCGGTGACAATACAGACGAATCGATCGGGTGATCAGCGAAGTGGAACGAACCGCAGCGAATTACTCTAGCTACTTTCTTGAACCCTCCCTTGCTCACGCTAATGGGATGTGATGTGATTGCTGACTTGTTGGTCGGAGAAGGAACTCCGGCTAGTAATCGGAAGCTTTCGGTGGCGTGTGCTGTGTCTGTGTGAAGCTGAAGCCGGCCTGTGCTGTGAGTATGTGGCCGAGCGACCCGTCACTGTGTCTGTGTGACGATGCTGCTGCACAGTGCACACGCCGCCGGGAACGGAGCAGATAAAGGGTTCTGGAACCCGAGGGCGGCACGAGAAAGCTGCCCGGCGCGCGGCGCAGCGTCGGTGACGCCTCGTTTTCGCCGGGTTAATTGCAGGCGCACGAAGGTTCGGCTCGGACGCGGACCTGCCGCCTGCGTCGTGGACTCGTTCTGGTCGTCGAGTTCTCCTCCCGCCCGCGAGCTGCTGACTCGTCGACGGCCGGCGAGGACGGTCGCCTGGCCCGTCGCTTTGAGCGCGTCCGCGCGTCACGGACGACACGGAGTGCCGTATTACGTGATAAGTTATAAGCTGGCCCGTGGCGTGGTCAGCCGTACAGGATACGGCGCCGACGCGCCGTGCACAGCTGCGGTTGGATGCACACACGGTTGTACGTGGTACGAGCCAAACAGGCCGTGATCTCGTTTCACGGTTAATTCGAGGCTTCTTAGCACGGCATTTTGCACGACACCGGTACTGGAACACCGGTACTAGAATACGGATCCAGACTAAGCCCCTGGTTTTAGTTCCAAAAATTTTCACCCTAAGCTATCACGTCTGAAATCTTACCAACCCAAAAAATAACCAATACATCACAATAAACCAAATGGAGTATTAAATATAGACGAAAAATTAATGCGGGCCGAGCATGGTTTAGACCTGGTTTAGTCCCAAAAATCAACCCAAACTATCAAATCGAATGTTTTAATAAGACGAAAAAAACTAATTACACTATGATGGAAAGCCATAAGTGCTAATCGGTCCATGATTAGCCATAAATGATAACTAACATGCGTTAATGATGGATTAATTAGGCTTAATAAATTTAATAAAGTTTTTTATTAGTATCTCAAACCTCTTCAAACAGCAAAACATCCAATATGTAATTTTTTTTTTTATTAATATCACTAAAAGACCGTTTACCTCAATATCCTCAACGCATCCCTTTTGTGACATTATAAAATATTCATTTTTACAAAATTTTTCAAGAACTCAAATCGCAGCATACATGAAGCATTAAACTAAAACGAAAACAGCTCGTTTACCGCAAACCATCTCTTTCTTTCCCACGCACGCACACCTTTTCACGTGATCCACGCATATTTATATTAAATTAAACACCGAGCTCTCGAGGAATCGAAGTTTCCAATCGCGCTGCAGAAAAAGAGCCAGTCGCAGGCAGGTAGGTTATCTTCTCTACCCTATCTAGCGCTGCTGCGTACTGAACCAGAGAAGATGCACCAACGTCTTCGGACACCCACAATAGTTAGAGCTAACTTCTCCGATAAGCGCTAATTTTTAGCATATAGCTTTTAATATGAATAACACCATATGACATTCTCACGTAACTTTAAGATATATGTGCAGAAGCTTAGCTCGATCAAGAGGTAGCTTTTCTCTCTCTTCTATTAAATTATGAGAAAAATGCTTAAAGCTAACTTAAAAGTCAATTGTTGGAGTTGCTCTTACATCCGGTTCTTTTGCCTAAACATTGACAAATTTTGTCCTAGCTTAGTAACTTTTAATAACCGACACGGCCGTATATATAGTTCAAAATGCTTAATATCCTTCCGCCTCGAGAGCAAAAATAGATTAGGTCTTTCAAGAATCGAATCCCATTATTATTGTTAACCAATGGACGCAGCTGAATAGCTGGCCACCAAGTTTTGCACACCAATAGGCACGCCACTATACTGTTTCTACTTGACTCTGTCCACTACTAGCTGTTTGCGTGCTTAGTGCATCTTTTCTTATATCTCTGAAACTATCTTTTTCCCTCAGAACACTTGTGCAGACCTAATTACTCTCTCCGTTTTAAATTATAAGTCGTTTTGACTTATTAGATACATTTATTTTGCTATGCATCCAGATATAATAGTATGTCTAGATACATAGTAAAAATAGATGAACAATAAAGTTAAAGCGACTAATAATTTGGAACGGAAGGATTACATACATCATGCAGCATGTATCAATGTCAAAATAATATCAGTTGATACAGTAGGAGCTAAGCGGCATAGTTTCGCAGCATATGCCCTCAAAATAAGAAGACATCATGCGGGCCTGAGCACGGTTTGTACTGAAACGAAACGAACTCGTTTACCGCAAACCATCTCTTTCTTTCTTTCTCACGCACGCACACCTTTTCACGTGATCCAGCCATATTTAAACACCGTCCTCGAGCTCTCGAGGAATCGAATTTTCCAATCGCGCTGCAGAGTGCAGAGTGCAGCACAGAGAAGAGAGCCAGTCGCAGAGAAGATACTCCGGGTCTCCTTCCATTCCTCTCTGCCCGCGAGAAGAGATCACGAGAGAGCAATGGCCGAGGCAGCGGCAAGGGGAGGGCGATGAGGTGCGCCAGGCACCCGTACGAGGGCGGCGTGGGCGTCTGCGCGCCGTGCCTCCGCGACCGCCTGCTCGCGCTCGCCGCCGCGCAGAACGCGGCGTCCTCGCTGCCCCCGCCCCTACCCCCACCGGAGCTCGAGCCGGAGCCGGTGTTCCCGAGGTCGGTGTCGTCGCCGTACGTGTGCCGCCGCCGCAAGTCCGACGCGTCGTCGGCGCCGCGGGGCGCCCGCCGGGCAGCCTGCTCTTCTTCCGGACGCCGCAGGTCGGCCCCGCGTACGGCGCCGGGTCAGGAGCAGCAGCCGGGTTCGAGGATGGCGACATCGGGTTGTTCCGGAGGCGGCGCAGCAGGTTCTCCGTGCTCGCCGCGCTCTTCGGCCACAGTCCGGACGACGACAGATGCGGCGACAAGGAGCGGAGGTACAGGTCCTCCAACTGGCTCGCGGGGATCGTGCCGCGCGCCGCCCGCCGGAGGAGGAAGGACAGGGAGACCGCTCTGCCGCCGCCGTCCCCGCCGCGGCAGCGACCGGGGGCTCTCGCCGGTGAGGTACTACGCCGACGGGGACGGCGAGGAGAGCACCTCACCGGCGGAGTCGCCGTGGCTGCCTTCGCCGTCGCCGATGCGGAAAACCCCGTGCCGTCGCCGCCTGGGACTGGGACTGGGAGCGCCCGGGGCCGGCGTCTCGGGGTTCTCGGTGTGCATCAGCCCGCTCGTGCGGCCCAGCCTGGGGACGCACCTCCGCGGCGGCCACCCGCCCGACGCGATCGTCTCCAGCGATCTTCGCCCGTCGCCACTCCATCCGCTCACGTCCAGCGCCTCGCTCCACCACTGCCGCTCCTGGAAGCTCGCCGACGGCGGCCGCTTCCGGTGAACTCATCGACGTCTCCCTGTCCCTGTGACCCTGTAAACTTCCTTCTACATGCTCAGTCCATTTTTCACCCAAAACTTACACGACCATTATTAGGGCCTGTTTAGATTTCAAAAAATTTTGCGTAGTACCTATCACATCGAATCTTGCGGCACATGCATGAAATAATAAATGTAGACGAAAAAAAACTAATTGCACAGTTGGATGAGAAATCGCGAGACGAAACTTTTGAACCTAATTAGCTCATAATTAAACACTAATTACCAAATACAAACAAAATGCTACAGTGAGCCAAAATCCAAAAAAATTTTATCTAAACGGGGCCTTACTTCGTGGGTTTTATCCTTTTTCCCCTTTTTATTTTACCTTGACGTGAAGGCTAGGGAAAACAAGGAATTTGTGCCTCGCAAGCTGTTCCACTGACATGTGGGCACCGACATTTCTAACGGTGCCGTTTGTCAGCGGAACATGTTGCAACGCTGTAAAAAGGAACAAGCTCCCCGTGCTCGTTGTAAAAAAAAAAAGGCTCCCCGTGCTCAGTGTTCATGTGCAGCTTATTGCGCCTTTCCTCTGAATTCGTGCTCGAATTCTTTTTGCGTTCTGAGATTCTCCGGTCAAGAAGCATAGTGGTGTCTGGTTAGGGCGTCGTTTAGATTAGGGTTAGGAATTAGTATGTGATACTGTAGCACTTTTGTTTGTATTTGATAATTATTGTCCAATCATGATCTAACTAGGTTTAAAAGATTCGTCTCGTAATTTATAATCAAATTATATAATTAGTTATTTTTTTATCTATATTTAATACTTCGTCCAAAAATTTAATGTAATGAAGAGAGAGTAAAAAAATTTGCAATCTAAATAAGGCCTAGATGGTATAGAGGTCATGTGGGTGGAATTAAATGCTGGAATTATTAATGGGAGGGAGATCTCAGCTCTCGGCAGTCGGCAGTGTGGGGAGTGTGATGACTGTGGAGCAGTACTGCAGTAATGAACTGCTACTTTCGTCTTAAAAATAAATACAATTTTCATTTTTTAGAATAAAACAATTTTAAACTTGACCAAATTAAAAAATACTAACATTTATTTATCGAATTATTATTATTAAATTAAATATTGGGCATATTTTCATAATACAAATATTTTGAGTCTAATTTTTTATACTCCCTGCATCTCAAATTATAAGTCATTTTAACTTTTTGAAAGTCAAAGCATCTCAAGTGACTAAATTCATATAATAAAATAATAATATTTGTTGATACCAAATAAGTATCATTAGACTCTTCATTAATTTATATAATTCTCTCTATAATTTTGATCAAACTTAAAGTGTTTTGACTCTCTAAAGAAGTTGGAACGACTTACCATTTGAGAATTTGGGACGGAGAGAGCATAAACTTAGTTAAAGTTAATCAAGATGTTCGGCTGCACTTAAAACAAGCTGCGGCCAGCTACTTAAATAGTAATTTGTGAGAGGAGTCGAAGAAGCAGCTTAACTCAAGCAGTCTAAATCTAGAACTGTATTTTTTTGGGGGGGGGGGGGGGGACCGAGAGTACTTGCGCAATTTCATAATTACTTTTCAAAATTCGTAATGGAACCGTCATGGTGTGAGCGTGCACAAATAAAAGTAATCAGTTACTAGTACTTCAGTACTAAGCTTTAATAATTTTTTTTTTAGAAAAAATAGTAAGCCCCATGGTACAGTCAGTAGTAAAAATGTTCTTTAACCCGAGCTTGATGAAGTCTCTGAAATCCAACCGATTATCCCATCTGGTCAGAGAGACACGGACATTTTTTTTACGAGAGAGACACGGACACTTGACCATGCGCCGGCAAGGAAGCAAACGGAGTTGGGCTGTGTTTAGTTCGTGAGTTTTGGAAATTTGGCGACTATAGCACTTTCGTTTTTATTTGATAATTAGTGTTCAATTATGGATTAATTAGGCTCAAAACGTTCGTCTCGTAATTTCACACCAAACCGTGCAATTAGTTTTTTTTATCTACATTTAATACTCCATGCACGTATCGCAAGATTCAATGTGATAGCTACTGTAGCACTTTTTTGAAATTTGATTGGGAACTAAACGAGGCACAATTGGTGATGCTCCCCCTCCCCGTGGCTTGTTGGTAAACACCACATGCTGGTGGACCAGAGCAAATGCTTCCAACTCGTTCAAGTACTTGGCCTAGCTGCCTAGGAGATGGGCTGCCTACGCCGCTACAGTCGACTCGCTCCATGCTGCCATGGTGCTAGCAACAGTGCTGAAGTTGAAAGTCAACCATGAATCTGGTGCCATCCTTGGCTGGCTGACGACTGCAATGAATGAACCCAAAGCTCGCAGTAATGGACGTGTGCCATTCTTGACTCTTGAGCAGAGCAGTTGAGCTCACCTCTGTGCCGGCCTGAGCCTTTGACGACAGTTGAAATAATTCCTCGACAGGAGGTGGTTGCGCGCTCGCTTCGCTTCGCCCCGCCCCGGAACGTAAAGGCGCAATCATGGCAGGTGCCCGCGCCTTCGCCGCGGTCGGGAAAGAAAGCTCGACGCCTTTACGGTTTAAAGCTAGTGCGGTGGTGGTGGTGGTGGTGGCGGCCGGTGGGCTTGCAAAGTTGTGCCTGCGATCCGGTGAATCGCGATGAGCTGTGAGAGAGTGCTGGGTTGCACTATCTGTTCTCCCTTGTCCGGCATCCTACTAGCGCTTTTTGGTGGTTATATATTTTGATGATGAAGGAAATATTACTTCCTTGCTGGGTTCGCTGTTCGTATGTGCTCCACAGGCGCACATGTGCTTTGTCCTGCTCGAGTATGATTGGCGTGGGGGGGGGGCGCAACAAAACGCCGACCATTGTATAGTTGGGTCGGTTAAATGTGTTAGCTTGGGAATGAATGGTTGATTGCATTCCATCTCAGTGTACGTCAGTACATAAGGACGCCAGGTGGCTTACCACCAGCCAACCACGCAGGCGTACATGCCACTAATCAAGGATTGACTACTATAATTACACATACTATAATTACTATAGTCTAACACTCCTCCGCAGTCTAATCGGGAGCATCGCTAACGGTTAGGCTGGACCGAAACTCCTGGAACAATGAGGTGGGGAGCCCCTTGGTGAAGACGTCGGCATACTGTGATGTCGTAGGAACGTGAAGAACTCGAACATGACCGAGGGCGACCTTCTCTCGAACAAAATGGAGATCGATCTCAACATGCTTCGTCCGTGATCTTTGCCTTTGGATTCTTTGGAGAGGTATACTGGCAGCAGACGTTGTCACAATATACCAGGGTGGCACGGCGAGGTGGGTAGCGAAGCTCAAGAAGTAACTGACGTAACCAAGTAGCTTCGGCGACACCGTTCGCCACAGCATGGTATTCGGCCTCGGCGCTGGACCGGGAGACCGTGTGCTGGCGCTTGGAAGACCATGACACCAGGTTGTCTCCGAGGAACACTGTATAGCCAGAGGTGGACCGGCGAGTATGGGGACATCCAGCCCAGTCGGCATCCGTGTAGACAACGAGCTCCGTAGGGGAAGACCGGCGCATAGTCAGTCCAAGTGACATAGTGCCCTGTAGGTATCGCAAGATGCGCTTGAGAGCTGCGAGGTGTGGCTCCCGAGGATCATGCATATAGAGACAAATCTGCTGAACAACAACTGGACAGGTGAAAGTCAAATACTGTAGAGCACCTGTCAGGCTATGGTACTGAGTAGCGTCACCAACATTTGGAGTGGAGATCAACAGGCGTGCTGCATGGTTTGCACGCACTCATCCCGGCGCGCTCCAAAATATCCTGAGTGTACTGCCGTTGGGAGAGAAACATACCATCTGTAGAGCGTGTCACAGAAATGCCCACAAAATGATGAAGGTGACCCGAGTTTCTCGGCCAAAAGGAGTCTCGCGCCCTTCTCCTGGAGACGCAGTTCCGCAACCTCCGCCAAGACTCCAAGACGATCACCGACTGCTGCCGCAAGTTGGAGACCATGGCTGCGTCTCTCGCCGAGTTCGGCGACCCTATCAGCGACCGCCAGCTAGTGCTCACCCTTCTCCGTGGGCTCAGCGGGAAGTTCCAGGTGTCTATACTCAAGATGCAACGCCCCTTCCCGACGTTCGCCGAAGCCCGCACACACCTGCTGCTCGAGGAGGTCGACATCGACGCCCGCCCGCCGTCACCGCCATCGGCCCTCGTCGCCATCACTTTGCACCACCGCCCATCGCTGCCCGCCGCCAAGCGCGCGCGCCGCCGCCACGCCAGACCGGTCGATCCAGCGGCCAGCAACAATAATGGCGCGGCGCGGCAAAAGGTGGCATGGTCACCGAGAGGGCAACCAAGCACCCGCGCTTCTTCTTTGGTGCACCAATGGACGGCAGACGGCGGCACACCAGCGCGACAGCACGGTGGCGCCAGCCAGCCCTCCTTCGCGCACCCGTGGGCGGGCACGCTGCAGATGTGGCCGTACGGCCGACCACCTCCACCTCCGTCGGCGTTCGCGGCCGTTCCACAGTACGGCGCTCCCTTCGGCGGCGTTCCCGGTGGCAGCACCTACAGCCACCCCGGCAGCAGCGTCTACGGCCCCAGCTACCCGTACTCCTACGGGGGAGGTGCGCCTTCGACACCGACGTTCCAGGGAGCTCCCTACCACAGCCCCCGTCGACACCCTGGAACCCCACACATGGAGGCGCATGGAACCAAGACTCTCTGATACCATGTTAGCTTGGGAATGAATGGTTGATTGCATTCCATCTCAATGTACGTCAGTACATAAGGACGCCGGGGTGGCTTACCAGCCAACCACACAGGCGTACATGCCACTAATCAAGGATTGACTACTATAATTACACATACTATAATTACTATAGTCTAACAAAATGGATTGAAAATGATCGCAAATTCTGGCTTCAGAGTTCAGACTCTGCCACTTGTTCGATGCGGGGCCTGACTGACAAGGAACGGAGCCGAGACGCTCCGACGCAATAGCCTGTTCGTGCATGTAGGCACGTGCGAAGTTTTGGTTTTGAAATATATACGTTTCGTTGAAATTTGGCTTATACTGATTTGTTGTGAAAGAAAAACAATATTCGTTCGCTAAAAAATACTGCGGAACAGTGCGAAGATTTCCAAAGAGTTTCTGACGCTTTCAGCATTGATGAATGTAATTGTCAGCTGCGCTGGCAATATACATCTCGGTAGGTATCTTTCATCCATCAGCATTGCACTTGCACGCGCCCGTGCCATATGTACGATGAAGCACTTCGTATACGTGAAGACGTCTTTCGTAGCTGCGGATATATAGGAGTGAACACGCCGCGACCGAAGCCGTTGCTTCTGCGTGTCCGCCTCAGCTGTCGTTTCTGTTGGACTAAGATAAAGTCTGCTTCATCAGTAGGAACTACTCGGTAGGAACGAGGTGGTATGCCATCACTTGCATTGCAGGCATTCATTTTGACTGCTTTTGTCCCTCCTTTGTATTTGGTACTTTCGTTTAACACAATTAACATAGGTCCTAGCTTCGTTTTGTAATCTTCACGTAAACATGACCATCTGATTTGCTCTTACCGGAGTTGGCCCCATGGGCCAT